TCTGTCTGTCTGTCTGTCTGTCTGTCTGTCTATCTATCTATCTATCTATCTATCTATCAGAATTTCTCATCACTATTAATCACTGACAGACCCCACCCTGCAGGACTGATGCTGCCCCCCTCCCTCTCTGGGAAATCTCCAGGGAGCCCATCATAATAAGCCATTAAACAGGCGCATTAGGGGTAATGAAAAGGCTCTTAGTGGTTTTTCCCACTGTGGGCCACCTGGATTTGTCTCTGTGGAAGTGGGCTGTGATTATCTGATGGTTCTGCTACAGCAGCTCTGAAACAAAAAAAACACGTATCACTGCTTTCATTTGGGTTTCTGTGCAGCAGCGTGTGTAATGCATTCAAGTCCACATTTTGTTTTAGAGCTCTTATAACAGAATTATCATTTTAGTCACCAATATTTCACTCTGGAAACAACTGTTAAAAGCTACAAAGTTTGTGTTGTGTTTTTTTGTTGCTGTTGTTGTGTTTGTCACTATGGTTATTACTGAAAAGGCATGGTAGACAATGATGTTTTTGCCTGTGTCTGTTTGCAAAATATCTCATGAACCACTGATCAGATTTTTATGAAACGTTCAGAAATAAATCATGAGATATTCAGTTACGACTGGTTAACTTTTCAAGTGAGTCCAATTCAAGATGTTTGCCACAGTTAATTGACAATAGCCAACACAAAAACGAGTATACCTCAATCAATTTCACAGATGTTGAGGTGAAGTTTGGTGTGGCAGTAATGAGAGTCATTCACATCTTCTAAGCATTACCACATTTCATGAGATCTGACAATATTATAGTGCACATGTGTCATTTATGAGGTTTGGTCTAAAAGATTATAACTGTGTTTTTTCTTGTCTTATGTTGATTTTAGTATAAAACTTTGTCATGAAAGATGGTGGGTGACATGCATTCAAGAAAGAGGGATTCTACTTTTTAGTGATACCCAATCTGTTGCAGTTTAATATTTGATACAACCTCAAAATAATTTGGTTTTACTTTTTGGGTTTTATTTTAGTGCACATAAAAATACCAAAGCATCCAACTAAAACAACTGTGTTGGAGCATCTTTTGGAAAATAATTATAAGTGGAGATGATTGTGGATTTCAGGAAAGCCACAGCCCCTCTGCCTCCTCTCACCTGTAATGATACCCCCATCACCACTGCAAACTCTTATCGGTTTCTCGGCACCACCATCACCCAGGACCTCAAGTGGGAGCCGACCATCAGCTCCCTCATCAAGAAGGCCCAGCAGAGACTGTACTTCCTGCGACAGCTGAAGAAGGCCAAGCTGCCGGCCAAGCTGATGGTGCAGTTCTACACGGCCATCATCGAGTCCATCCTCAGCTCCTCCATCACGGTGTGGTACGCCGGGGCCACTGCCAGGGACAGACTCAGACTGCAGCGCGTTGTGCGCTCAGCTGAGAAGGTGATCGGCTGCAGCCTTCCATCCCTCCACGACCTGTACGTCTCCAGGACTGTGAGGCGAGCAGGTCGGATCACAGCTGACCCTGCTCACCCTGCACACGGACTATTTGAACCACTCCCCTCAGGCAGGAGGCTTCGGTCCATTCGGACCAGAACCTCCCGCCATAAGAACAGTTTCTTCCCCTCTGCTGTTGGACTCCTGAACACTCATAATGCTACCACATAACTTCTGCTTTCGTCACATTACATCTGTTTTATAATTGAAAACTCCATCTGTACTGTTTTCTAAGCTTTTTTATTGTTTTCTATTGTATGGGTGTACACATGTTTATGTTAAGTTTTTTAATGCTACTTTATTTGTGGGTGTACACAGGTCTTATGTCTTATGTAATGTTCTCATTTTTACTTCATTTTTACTTTATTTTTACTTTATTTTACTTTATTACTATTCGCACCTTATGTCGAAGCAAATTCCTAGTTTGTGAACCTCGTTCATTGACATGGCAATAATAAACTAATTCTGATTCTGATAAAATAATATGGTGGCATCTTTAAAGCATTCAAGGTTTTCTTCCCACAAAAAAAAAAAAAAACTAACAAAAAACACTGTAAAACAATTCCGTGCTCCTGAATCCCACTGTAACAAAATAATGTTCATATATAACCTTACTTGATATTATAGTCATGCCCTCAAGGTGTAAAATATTGTTTCAGTTGTTTGATTGCTGCTGGAATCGGATCCTCTGATTTCACTCCCTTCCTGTTTTGGACAATTTGTGCACCAAAACTGCGCGCAAGCAGCCAGTCCGCTCTCTGCAGCAGACAGAGCTGCTACCTGTGATTGTGATGCAAATGTTAATGGACTCTGAGGTCCTCTGATTAGCCTGGTGTTGGCCTAATTTCCCTCCTCCACGGTCCCCCGGGAGCGCAGAGAGCCTTTTCAGCGTCCCCTCTCCATCCAGGAGTGTTGATGGTGTTTTCTGCCTCACTGCTCTGATGGATGGACGCAGCAGTCACGCAATCATGGGTTAAATGGTTGGTAATGTTGCACAGAATGAACGATCCCCTTTGTTTTTGATTTTTGTAGGAGTCAAAGATTTGCGCGTTTAATTCAGTTCCTCTGCTCAGTGGGTTACCATGATGTAGCACACCTCCCTTTCTTTTTCTTCTTCCCTGTGGTTTCCCCACACACTGCGCCTTGTCATTACCCTCTCACCGAAAACATTTAATAGAGGAGATGGAGGGAGGGGGGCACATGGAAATAAAAGCTCAGTCCCCAAAAGACCTGCGGGACTTTAGTCCAATTTTGGTCCATCTTTGCCTGTTTTTCCTTTCAGCTGGAGAAAATGTTGCCAAATCGTGACTTATTTTGAGGGGTTTTTTTTCGTGGGGAGGGGTGGTGTTTGAGTCACGTGGAGGATGGGGAGCGATTACATGAAGGCGGAGAAGCTTGTGCCAGCTCATCCATGTGTGTAATGCGAAAAAAGGGAAAGTCTGGGAGCTGAGGAGGAGGAGGAAGTGGAGGAGGTGGTGGTGGTGGAAACCTGAGATCATACAATGCCGCTTTGGATTTGTCTTTTCATCACAAAAAATACACATGTGGGTCAGAGAATGCTCCGGTAACAGAGATGTGGAGCTCTGATTGGTCATATCAGAGAGATGAGGGTCCTGCTGGGACTTGGTACCCTGACCCTCAGGATGGGGTGATAAACATGGAGGATCCCACTCCTCCTTTTTTAACCAACGCCTTCAAAGTGTGTCACCTCTCCTTTATGAGATCTGAAATCTGCACATTTATTTATTTATTCACATATAATATTAGTGGTGTTTGTGTAACATATAAATGTTCTGTGTGGAAACGTGCAGAGTCGCTGTAACCTGGAGCCTGCTCGGTGTCAGAGCTGCTCTCTCCATCCTGCAGCGCAGAGCGTTAGAGGAGGTCTGCAGCGCGCTGATAACACCCCCACATCATTAACTCTTTCATTCATGGCTTCAGCAGCCATTTCTCTTCTGTCAAACTCGCATTATAGGGGGGAAAAGATATCCAAAGGGACGCAGAGCAGAGGCGCGTGAGAACGAGCAGTTTGTGGTGTTTTTGACGCGCAGGCCTCATCCGGTCCGGCCTGAGCCCTGCACCCACCGGGATGCAGGTTTTGGCTTTGAGGATTTTTCTCTACAGCAATCATAATTTTTTGGACAAAATAAATGAAAAATAACAAAACAAACAAATTAAATGTTTCCTCATTGTGCATTTAGAGGTAACGTTTAATCCAAACAAAAAGGTTGAATATTTCACCTTAAACAGCCCCAGGTGTTGTATTACATATATTTAACCAATAAAAAAACAAACATTTAAATTAACTATTAATCAGTTAATGTTTTTTTTGTTTGTTTGTTTGTTTGTTTGTTATCTTCTGGTGCTTAAGAAAACTGAATTCAAAAATTCTACTTGAATGAATTTTTCTCCTAAAAATATAACAATGAGCCGGGATCTCAGTATTTGGAGCTGATAGGCCGCAGATTTTTATTTTTTATTCTGATGAGGAACTGAAATCCTGCAGCCTAGAAAAACTCTAAACACAAAACGCAAATCCAACAGACTGGAACAATAAAAGTCTTTGTAACTAACTCATTTGTGCCAAGTAATGAATATTTCCAGTCGAATGTCTCAAGAATACAAATCAGAAACGAGACTTTAATTTTAGAAGATTAAGACAAATGTTTATACGTAAAAAAAAGGAAAGAGGGTTTGTTAAAATAAAAATATCTCGACTTCCGAAGAGCAAAAACAAATAATCCAGAGTAACAAAATGTAAATGTAAACGACGTTACGCATTTTTGGACACTTTTCCGCTCAAATGCTCGTTTTTTCTAAAAAAAAATCTCGCGCACATTCCTCCCCTTACAGCGTTTCGACCGACAGCCTGCAGTCAATAAATGAATGAATGAATGAATGAATGAATGAATGAGTGAATGAATGAATGAATGAATAAATGAATGAATGAATGAGCGTTCTGGAGACTCGAACCGACTTCATGCTAAATTGGAGAGCAACGAGTGCCAACTCAAAATCTGTACCTCACCATCTTTTAGAAAAAACAAAATCAAATCCTGATGAACACGGTTCTTAAAATCGATCCACGGATAGTCCTGGAAGGAATTTTGGGGATAATCTAGTCGCGCTCCTCGTCCTCTTTCGAGGAATTTTCTGGCATATTATTAACATTTTAAATGGTCAGGTAGCAGATTTTCCTTGTTATATAATTTCTGGTCCAAAGAGCTTGAGGTTTCTGCACATCTTAGCCTCCATTTATACCCCTGAAGTTATGCAAGATCTGAGGCCCCCGGAATGTCATTGGATGTTAGGATGAGGTATTATAGATTATGGGTTGGGGAGAGGTGGTGGGGGTACTGCAAGCACCTCCCCTAGAAATGCAGCAAATCTCTCCCGTTTCCTCCTGGTTGGGGAACTGGGAGGCTTGGAGACGTGCTTTGCATTGGCAGGCGGATGAGGACACGTGTCTCCTTCCTGCCTACTCCCCCGGGCTCCACCGTACCGCATTGGCATCAGTAAAAAGCACCTGAACACCGACAAGAAACTCCAGGGAAAGCTGCGTGCCTTCTTACAACCTTAAAAGAAATACTTCAGACTTTGCAGGAACCTGTGGCTCGCCTCTTGTTTCCATCTTTTTTCCTTTTTTTTAAAAGTCGTGCGTAAAGCTTTTACGCACAGCGCCGAGCCGCCGCTGAGTGCGGACAGAAGAAGAAGAAAAAGGTGCGCTACGTCCAGCATCAGAGCGCAGTGGCAACATGCAGAAACGGAGCAGCGACGTCTGAAGGTGACATGAACCTGGAGATAATCAGGAGCACCAGCCGCGCTCTGAACAAGAAGTGCAGGTAGCAACTGAAGCGTCGGCGTCTTCATCCAAACCTTGCGCTTTGCTGTGGCTTCAATCTCATGCAGAGAACCAGGACTTGTCATCCTAAGTAGCCTCGTTTTTACTGGATTCAGAAGAAGGAGGAGAAAAAAAAAACCCTCTCATTAAAGCAGCAGTTTGGGAATCGTCAGAGGAGCAAAAATGGCGACGTTAATTAGAGGCAAGCTCTCCAATAAACTGTCCAACGCAGCCACGGCCGTGTCCAACAAATCCCAGGCGAAGGTGAGCGGGATGTTCGCCAGGATGGGCTTCCAGGCCGCCACGGACGAGGAGGCGCTGGGCTTCGCCTCCTGCGACGACCTGGACTACGACCACCGACAGGGCATGCAGATGGACATTCTGACATCCGACGAGGTCGGCGGGGAGGGGAGCGGAGACGGGGACGCGATGGAGGGGGACAGCCATTATCAGAGGGACGGCACCGGTCCACCGCCCTCCGTCTCAAAGGACGGGGGTCCGAACAACGAATTGACTGAAGTCAGACCAAAAATCACCGCGTGGGAGGCGGGCTGGAACGTCACGAACGCAATCCAGGTAAAGGCGCGCCGTTTGGGATCTTAACAGACGGTCAGGGTGGGGGGGGGGGGGGGGCTCGGTGGATGGAGCCGCTGTGTGAAAGCTGAGATGAATCCACTCCTGCGCCCGTTTAAAAGCTCATTAGAATATTCATGATCACACCAAAAAAAGCTTTGTTTCAGTTTTATATTCCATAACAATAAGCTGAAGACTTTTAATGATCAATTGATGAGTCTTAAGTAATTAGGTGATCAGATCTGCTGAAAAGAGGAGGTAACTGATGGCCTGTGACCCCCTCCCTCCTCAGCATTCTTTGTCCGCACGGCTCTGACAGCGCTTTTATTGATAATGAGGGAAATAAAATTTTTATGAAGAGCCAATAATTTGATGTAGACGGTCATTTATTATTTTAAAGGCTTTATTTAAAGGTTAAAAGACTTTAATGCCTCAGTTCTATAACATCCATAGACAAATGGGTTAAACTGCAAGTTTATTATTGTTTTTCCTAAATAATTTGTAACAAGTCACATATTTTCAAGGCCTCATGGACATGAAGCTGCGGAGGGCGCGTGCTGCTGACTGTGGGGGGCTATGCGACAAAAATGCCTCCACGCGCGCGCAGTCCCTTTTTTTAATGCCTTATCAGGGCTGCGGTCACAGCAGTTAGCGTGACGTCAGAGTGTGTCTCCTTCAGCCCGTGATGATGACGTCAAAGACGGGTGGATGCGCTCAGAGCGAAGCGGAAAACCCGCAGCGTGAAATAAAAAACATGATGTTTTGGAGAGGGTCAGCCCCACATTAAACATGACAAACACTTATTGTTTTTAATAAAAGGTAGTTTATCAGCCTTTTCATGTTTGTCTTCCTGTTTGCAGGGGATGTTTGTGCTCGGCTTGCCCTACGCCATCCTGCACGGAGGATACCTCGGACTCTTTCTCATTATTTTCGCCGCCGTGGTGTGCTGCTACACGGGCAAAATCCTCATCGCCTGCCTGTACGAGGAGAACGAGGACGGGCAGCTCGTGCGCGTCAGGGACTCCTATGTGGACATTGCCAACGCTTGCTGCGCGCCCAGGTTCCCGACTCTGGGCGGCCACGTGGTGAATGTAGCTCAGATCATAGAGCTGGTGATGACGTGCATCCTGTACGTGGTGGTCAGCGGAAACCTGATGTACAACAGCTTCCCCAACATGCCCATCTCTCAGAAGTCGTGGGCCATCATCGCCACCGCCGCCCTCCTCCCGTGCGCCTTCCTCAAGAACCTGAAAGCCGTCTCCAAGTTCAGCTTGCTGTGCACGATGGCGCATTTCGTCATCAACGTCCTGGTGATCGCGTACTGCCTCTCCAGGGCCAGGGACTGGGCCTGGGACAAGGTCAAGTTCTACATCGACGTCAAGAAGTTCCCCATCTCCATTGGGATTATCGTGTTCAGCTACACCTCGCAGATCTTCCTGCCGTCCCTGGAGGGCAACATGCAGAAGCCGAGCGAGTTCCACTGCATGATGAAATGGACCCACATCGCCGCCTGCATCCTCAAGGGCCTTTTCGCCCTGGTGGCCTACCTGACCTGGGCTGATGAAACCAAGGAGGTCATCACGGACAACCTGCCCCCGACGATCCGAGCCGTGGTCAACCTCTTCCTGGTGGCCAAAGCCTTGCTGTCGTACCCGCTGCCGTTTTTCGCCGCTGTCGAGGTGTTGGAGAAAACATTTTTCCAGGATGGGGGACGCGCGTTCTTCCCGGACTGCTACGGGGGCGACGGACGCCTAAAATCCTGGGGACTGACCCTCCGCTGTAGTCTTGTCGTGTTCACCTTGCTCATGGCGATCTACGTGCCACACTTCGCCTTGCTCATGGGCCTCACGGGCAGCCTGACGGGCGCCGGCCTCTGCTTTCTGCTCCCTAGCATCTTCCACCTCAAGCTGCTATGGAGAAAGCTGCAGTGGCACCAAGTTTTCTTCGACGTCTCCATCTTTGTTATAGGAGGTATATGCAGCATATCCGGTTTCATCCACTCCCTGGAGGGGCTCATAGAGGCTTTCAGATACAACATAGTAGATTAAATGCGAGCTAGATGTTAAACTGCAAATCTCCATTTAGTGTGGAAACACACACACACACAAAACACACGATCCCCCCCCCCCACCCCACCCCTTCTGCTTAATCCATGCGTAAAAGCGCATATAGTGGACATTTACGCACTCACGCACCACTTGCATCGTCTCTCTCACGCGCAAATAAATCAAATGGCAGTGAGGGAATCTACCCACAGTTGTTACTTGTACAAATACACAACCAGAACAGATTATATTTTCCAGTGGAGTTTCAAATACTTTGAACAGATGTGCAGAGGGGGTGTGGTAGTTTTGCCTTGTCGTCGCTCTTGTGGTGCTTCCTCACATGAGGCTTCATGTAACGCTCGAGTTTGTGATTTAAGATGATAAAACATTTTATTTTAAGGTGAGATGTTGTAGGAAATGTCACTTTTAAATGGCTGTGTGTGGTGTTAAAACCATGAGAGGGGAAGCCCACAGAGATAGAAAATAAATAATAAATGGCAATAATTATAATAATCAGAAGGAAAAGCATATTCGTTTGGAGAAATTCACCCAATTAAATTACTTAAAATGCAAAAATATGAGTTTAACTAAAACAGCAGCTATACAAACTATGCATTGAATGTATATTTCTGACACATATACAGAAACTGCAGTGCAAATATATAAAAATAACTCTAAACTTGGTTTTCTTTGCGTGTTAATGCTTTGATAGGCCTTTCCTGCCCCCCAGCACGCACAAATTCTCTCATTTGTGTGACTGAGCTTCTTATCAGGCAATAACAAAATTCACCTGCCGCCCAGAGACCCTCATCATGGCCCAATATCTGCCCTAACGGGGGCTCCGAAATCCAATCTGCACACTCAATTTCATGATAATGCATTTAGATCCACACGGTCTGTTTCTGAGATTAATTTTTAAGACTCCTGTCTTGCAAAATTCGATGTCTGAAAATAAAAAAGTGAGATTATCAAAGAGGAAAATGTGCATACAGACATTTTTCATTCTGTGCAATCCAATGGGTCCTGTGGAAATGTTATAAAACCGTAAGTGTAGTGTGTTGTTGTGGTTTCAAAAAGATGGAATGTATATCTCAAAGTGGTTATCATATATTGTGAAATTAATATTGAAGAATAAAGAAATAAGTGAAATTATATTGTAAAAATGTGTGTGGTTTTATGTAAAAGAACAAAAAACGGGCAGATGTATTTTTTTTTCCTCTTGAATAAAAGACAGAAAACGATGGGATAGTTGCAGTCATATTTTTTGTAAACGAAAATAAGTTTTTTTTATTATTCAAAAACTTGATTTAATTAAGAAAAACAGCAAATGTTTGTGTCAGAGTTTAGAATATATTTAAAGGTTATTTCTCCTTTAACTTGAAATCCAGCTGCAATTTTTTACATTTCTATTCATATTCGAGAAGAAAAGCACATGTTGATAAATTCAGAGCAGCCATGTTTTCCATAGCTCAGCTATGGAAAGTGTTTGGACAGATTTTCAGCTGCAGGCAGGAATCAGGCCTTCTGGTCGGCCTGCTCATCCACATCGCTGATTTCCCACAGCGCGTGAAGGCAACATCTGCGCGAGCCGTTTATTTCCAACTAGCGTGAGTTGAAATGAAAAAAAAATAAAAAAATTATATATATATATATATATATATATATATATATATATATATATATGTGTGGAAAAAGAAAAGTAGGCCTTTGAAAATGTAATGTTTCTCATCTCGAAACATTTCAAAGCTCAAGGTAACATGACCATTACGGTTTTATATGAAAGAAATCGCTTCAATAATCTGATTTTAATCGATATAAGTAAAATAAAGTCTAATTAAGAACATTTTAGACTAAACAAAAAAGATACATCAATCCATTTAAAACACAAACACCCACAGAAGACTACTATATCAATTTTCCCCATGAAAACATATTTTAAATACGTATATTTTTATATATCCCTGTGATGGATTGTGACCTGTCCAGACACGAGCCTCTCACAGTGACAGCTGGATGTGAGCACCAGAAAAGACAGAAGCGAGTAAAGATAATGGATATTTGTTTTCTTCTACTGCTGAACTGGAAAACTTATCATTGGGCACCCCCTTGTGGACAATGCACCTAATAACTCGCCTCTGTTCTCAAATCGGTACAACTGTTTTTTATTTTAATACAGGTAGTTGTCATAATTTATGAGCAAACCTAGAATATGAAGAAAAAGGAAAATATTTCCAGATTATACTAAATTTTCATTCAAACTTTATTTATACAGGTTGGTCTCATTTACAAGAGACTTGATGAAATGATAGCCAAATAGCTTTTTAACAAATGTTTCAAGCTCGTAAAACAGATTTCTCAAAAAATTTGCACAAACACTCTACATTAGCAACTATCAAACCTTTACACTGTGTCAAACCACTGGCACTTTTGTCGTAAACATTTTACATTGTGTGTTCTGGATTAACGAGTGTTTATTTTTTCCTTTATTTCTCCAATCCAAAAACTCACGCTTAAGTTTTAAATGCAGTCTTGGATTATCTCCAAAGACATTACATTTTTTCATTTAAAGAAAAATAATTTTCAGACCGAGGAAGGCATTAGGCCAGATTTGATTTTGTTGAAACCACGCAGCACCTATCAGTTTTAATACAAGCTCAAACAACAAACCGGACTTCCTGCAAAATAATGATGCAGCATTTCAGATTAAAACAAAAAAAAATCTACCAAGACATGGAATAAATTACAGAACTGTACACACACCAAGTTACTCATACACCAGATTATTAAGAAGATAACATTTTATTATACTGGAAAACTTAACTCAAAACCTCAATATTCGCCAAGTTTGAGTGGTTTTAAAGCATCCTCTGCTGTGTGCTGATCACACACACACAAAAAGCAGTACTTGATCTGTGCAAAGAAAGAAGACAACATGTGCATCACTGAAACACTGTGGTTCTTTCCAATGTGACATATTAGATCAACAATTTATTTCCCAACTTCAAGTAATAACATTTCACAAAAGCTCAATGACGTGTTCATAATTATCTAAAAACAGTGAAATATTTACAGGCTAAAGGATGCCATGGATAAGAGAAAACAGGACAAGATACAAATGGCAAAGTGGCTCAAGTTTTGGGGAAAAAAAAAAAATTATAAAAGTCATTTTGTTGTCAAAAAAGGTGCTGAACAAAATCAGCAACAGGCTGATATTCAGACTCCAAAACTTTAAACTGGTGTTTCGTAGTACTACGGAGTACTCCAGCCTTATACGCATCTGTGTGGAGAGCCGTCATTGACAGGTTTCGTGATTATTCAGGGTTGTACGCTTCTTGGTCGAAAATTCGAGCACCCAAGGGTGAGACAGGACTCCCTGGATGGGAAGTCTCTGCATGGGATTGTGCTTCAGCAATCTGGCAACCAAGTCTTTAGCCCCAGCACTGATGTTAGTCTGTGGAGGGTAAGTGTACTCCACCTGGAGAGAGAAAACACAAAAGGTAAAATGGTTTACAAGAACTTTAAAGCAGCAGATCAGATCTTAAGAGAAAACACAACACTAATTAAAAGCTCATTAGGATCTCACTGGGCTGGGAGTAGTCTCAAGCTGCAGCGAGGCTCAGCCTTGTGGTTTGCGTTTTCACGGTTCAAGTTTCTTTATTTTCATTCGCATCACATGTGGTACGAAATTGTGTACACAGTTACATCCAACAATCGCAAAAATATAAATTGTAAAAGAAACAGTGATAAGGATCGAAGATACAAACGAGGAATTAAGCTAAACACTAATAGTGCAAAACAACAGCAGCACGAACATGAGTCTGTGGGTTTTTAACATGGTCATAAAATGTGTGCGTCGACTTCTTAATAGTCACAAAGTTGTTGTAGGCGGTTCCAATCTTTCTCAAACTCATTTGAATTTTGCAGAAGGCATTTCCAACCAGTCTCAAGAGCGCTAAGGCCTGTATGTAACCCCTGCAAAGGAGCTTAACTCTGACAAAGAACAACTGAGGCAAATGTCCAGGTCTATTATTCAGGCACATATTACATTTAAAAGTTTAGAAAGAAAGAAAAAAAAAAAAAAAAAAAACTGGACCAAATCGGCCCGTCTTCATTTCAAAAGTGTACTCCAGCAGATTAAGTCACACGTGAGAGCAGCTGCCAAGGTGGGCAACAATTTATTGGGCTTGGCCAAGAATACAGTTTTCAGGGTTTTTTTAAAACTAGCAGCTCAAAATGCAGCCAGATAGCTCAATGGTCACAAACAGAACTGTTTTTGACTGCAAATGAAAATTTATGTATTTTTTGCACTTTTGAGGATTTTCTTATGTTAAGAAAGTGTCCTCAATGAGTCTCAATAATGTTCAATGTTAAGACTGTAAATTTAAGAATGTTATCCAATAATGGTCAATTAGGTCATCTGGACAGTTTCTTTTTTGTGGAAAGACGTTTCGCCCTCTATCCGGAGGGCTTCATCAGTCTGAAGAGTCCCAAGTAAACTGACTGACCATTTTTGGATTTTGTACCTGGATGAATGAGCATGAACTTTGAGGTCTTGAACCACTTTGGCTGTGTCTGCCTGCCTGGGAGGAGTCGACGGGGGACAGGACAGCCCCCAGAAACCATCTTATCACCAGCAAACTGGTTGGTCCACTAAAGGAGTGTACTGCTTAGTGGGGAAAGCGGTTTACTTGGGACTCAAACTGAAGCCCTTCAGATAGAGGGCGAAACGTCTTTCCACAAAAAAAAAAAATCTGTCCAGATGACCTGATTGACCATTATTGGGTTTTGTACCTGGATGATTGAGAATGAACTTTCTAAGAATCTTATCTTATGCTATTCCACCATATCGAAAAGGTAATCAGAATTGGTCTATGCAAAATTGCACTGGTAAAACTATATTGTTCGGTTTCTACTTTAATTGAGTCTCAAGTCTCTAAATTTCATCGGGGAAAAAATAAAATTAAAAGTCCACATTTCTGGTTGTGGATTCATACCTTTGAAATCCTGTGGTAGGTCTCATCGTGAGTTTTTGCTTCAAACGGGGGTTTTCCAACAAGGAACTCGTAGCAGAGGACCCCCAGACTCCACAGATCCACCTTTTCATCGTGAGTTCTGCCCTCAATCATCTCCGGAGGCAAGTAGTCAAGTGTTCCGCACAGAGTGGACCTCCTGCACAAGAAACGGCATTTACAAAAATGAATCACGAGTCCAAAATGTGCCCAAACAGTAAATAAATCAAGAATAACCATCAAGCTCATTAGTACAGCAGCCAAAAAAAAAAAAAAAAAGAGGTGTGTGTACCTAGAAGACGGAGTGTGAACAGACCAACCAAAGTCTGCAATCTTTAGCTCCCCGTTGGCTCCAAGGAGCAGGTTCTCTGGTTTGATGTCCCGGTGGATCACGTTCTTGGCGTGGCAATAGTGTAGGGCATCTGCCAGCTCCATGATGTACTAATAATACAGCAAATAAATACATTTAATTAAACAGGCTCCAAAATTTTTGTTCAGTATTTTGAATCCTTACAACAACAAAAATAAACATTGATTATCCACTTGTTTGAGAACCTAGTGGACACTTTCGGTAAACTTTATTAATTTTGACCATAAATAAATTAGAAGTGTTTAAACTAAAGACTAGCTCTAAAGCAGATACACTTACTGTTGCACTTCTGTCTTCAGGGAAACTTCCACAACGCTGTAGCTCACTGAACAGCTCTCCTTTAGGAGCAAACTCAAGTATGAGATACACACGAGCAGCATCATGGAAGTAGCCATAGAGGCGCAGGATGTTAGGATGTCTGAAGAAAACAAATAAACAAGACTATAGAAATTATGTTGCCAATGGATTGATTCATTTTCAGCACAAAACCGCTAAGACCAATGCAGCCTAAGACAAGGGGCTTGCAATAACCTCATCTTTATGAAAACATTTTTTTTGTTCAACTCTAAATGTAATCACTGATCACAAATTACCTGAGGTGAGACTGAATTTCCACTTCTCTCCTTAGCTGGTGCTCCACCCCAGCTTTCTCTAGCTGGTTCTTGAAGAGCACCTTCAGGGCCAAGATGAATTTAGTTTGGCGCTCTCTCGCCAAGTAGACGTTGCCAAACTTTCCCTTTCCCAAAGGACGGCCTATGTCAAAATCTTTCAGGCCCCATGGCTTCCTGTTTGAGCACAGAAAGGTACAGTTACAACCTTAATCAATGGTTGATAAAGTAAAAATCTACAAAGTGTACATGACTTACTTTGATGATGAGGCCTGATCACTCTCGGCAGAATTATCTAACCAACAAAACAGTGATCTGGTTTAGCATTCAACATTTACAACATTTATGGTTTTGTTCATTGCTCCACTCACTCTGTGGCTTTTCCGGCTTTGCAAATTCTGAAGGGGGCTTGGCTAATACTGGGTTGGCACTGGGCACTTGTGTCTTTGTCTGAGGTGCAGGATTTACATTCAGAGAAGCAGGATTTGCATTCTGGTCAGCAGAGTGTTTTGACTTAACAGCAGGGACGTGAGATACTGGTTTCTGATGGGTGACAGGCCGCTGGACACGATGTGGACCGTTTGACACACCGAGAACTCGCTGGGGCTGAGTCGGTGTGACTACAGCCTTCTGAACAGGCTGCGATACAAGAATTCGTTTTGGCCCGTCACCATTGGACTGCAACAAAAAGAAATCAAATATAAGAACAAACATTAATTTATCATGATGCATGCTCAATAATCCAGGTAGAAAAATCTAACAAGGTCAGCATCAGGTCCTCTGGACAATTCTTCTTTGTTGAAACATTTTGTATTTTATCCAGAAGTCTTCTTCAGTCTAAGGAGCTGCAACAAACTCAGTCTTATATAAGCATATATATATAATAGCACCTTCTTACAGTGGATCAACCAGTTTGCTGCTGACAGAACTAGTTATTCACATGTAAAAAGAGGATAATTCGAGCACTAACAATTGGTTGTTAGTGCCCTGTTGACTAAATCTCATGACCTTGAATCCCTCACTCCTTGTCTCTTTGAACTGAGGAAGTTCCTCGGATGAGAAGCGAAACGTCTTCAGCTACAGAACAAAGTCCAGTTGTTTTTGCTTTTAATCTTGTTTGGATTTACCATGTCCTGGACGACAGAGAATTTTCACCAGCATACTGATGACCGCTTGTTATTCACAGAGGGCTGAGTGATATTTGCAATCACAGCATTGTAAGAGGGTGATCGTTGAACACGGAGCCCACCCCATTTAAAGATGGACGGGTTCTCTTCACAAAGATGGCCTCCTTTACTCCTCTCAAACCATCATTCCTCTCTGTCCAGGATGTGAACATCTTTTTTCCTGACCGCTGGCCTGGAGATGAGTGTAGACCACAGAGTCCTGGCCTGATGGTGTTGCTCTTCTGGGCCATCCTTTTGGCCAGTGGCTGTTTAGTTTCCCCGATGTAAGACTGATCACAGCCCTCCTGACACTGAACAACATACACAACATTACTCTGTTTGTGCCGGGAAGCTGGATCTTTGGGATGAACCAGTCTTTGCCGTAATGTATTTTGGACTTTGAAAGCATACATTTTAAACATTAATTTAATATCACCGTTTTACACAGCTTGTATAAGTTCAAGAGTTTGATGGTTTTATGATTCACATTTAAAACTCCAAGAAAATATTGAGCATTACCTTCCTTTCAGGCTTTTGAGGCTTTGTGATTTTTGTCACCCTCAGCTTGGAAGATGAGTCCATATTCTGAGAAAAAAGTAAAGGAGGGGGTTATTAAGAACATTATGACCTAATAAGATGTGTTACACTATAACGTTTACTGTATCTCATGGCTGTAAATGTTAATAAATTAACATCCACCCTGGCGAGGTTAGCTAACGTTTACGGACAACGGCTTGTGTTAGCTAGCTAGCTGGACGCAGCAAAACTTCTCGTGCCATCAGGTAATCTGCAAGTTAAAAATGTAAGATTTACCTTAAAATAGCTGTGCACGATAACCGAAACCACTGCCCGTGTATTTATCCAGAATTAAAGTGCCTCTCCAGCAGGTAACCCTCTTTACCCGAGCACTTATTAGCGGCTACATCGACTAGCTGAAACCAAAAGCTAATGTTCGAGGTTAGCTACTAAAAAAGGCAAACCGTGAAAAATACGGGTTGTTTTCTGAAAAAGCTACTGAAACTTTCCGTGTTGTAAAAAAAAAAGACTTAAATACGGACAAATTCTAGCTAGAGTTTTGCCAATATATCTGACCGAATAGCACTTCGGCACTGCTAGACCTGTTAGATTTCAAATGGCCCTCTGTTCAAAACCTTTAAAAAAATCCCGTGGTTCTGATTGGCTAAAGAAATGCGCTCTCTCGTTATCTATTGGTTAATTTCGGAAAACGGAAACGGTTTGACGTCAGTCTCCAATCCGGTAGAGGGCAGTAGAGGCCTGATCGAACAAAATAGATTAAAGAGCATTTTTAATTTAGAATTTTTATGAAATACAGTCCGAGGTTGAAGTTTTTTCAATTTAATATTTAGATAAGTAGGCTAATATACAAAGCCATTTTTTAATCATAATATCTACATTTTTAATATTGTATCTACACCACTAGACTGAGGAACAGCTTCTACCCTGAGGCTGTTAGACTCATGAATCTCTAACTAGAATAATCACTGTGAAAAACCATATCATGTTGCTGCTGATCTGTTTCATGTTGCTGCTGATCTGTTTCAATGTTGATGTGTTCATGCGTGCACATCTGCTCACAGACTCATGTTCATGTTTGTGCTGATGTTCAATGTTTTATGTTATGAGTGCTTAGTGTATATTTAGTTGATGTTTTTCTTAGTTCATATCTTAGATGTTATTACTGTTTTTCTTATACATTTTATTGTTGGATGTAACTGGGACCCTGTGTACATAATTTCGCTCCACCACATGTACCACATGAGGTGCGAATGACAATAAAGAAACTCTGACTCTGATAGTATCTATTACAACTGCACAGGCTAGAAACTTTATTTTGTCAATAATTACTGTCCTCTTTGCTTTGAAGTGACACATTATCATATTTTTTTTACTGTACATTAAATGTGCAGCATTTTTAAGGGAAAGTGGTAAAAACAATGGCATGCAACAAGAAAAACTATATTTTTTAAATAAATAAATACTAAATATCCTAATGAAATAATACATGTCATCATTAACTCGGACACGTCTAAAATCTTAAAACAAATGAATCAGCTTTACACTTGCACAGTTTTGTTTAGCTTAATCATAGCAACAGCCCTGTTGTAAAGGGGAAAAATACTGATTCACTGACTGTTACATTTGACTATTCACTTTTATGCACTGAAGGCCTTCTGAAAAACAGCTGCAAGTCTCAGATTGCGCTCCATGTGGCAGAAAAACTACCACGTGGAACAGGGGTACAAATAGTATGTTGACTGATCTTTAAACTAGAATTAAACAGTAATAAAATTACTTTGCTGCAAGCAGATTGTGCAGAACAAAGTACACAAGGTTTGGATCCAAAGTGTAGAGCTATTTTATTATGACTTTAATTTGCGTGCAAGTAGGATGATGCAAAATTTTTTTTTATCCATAATACACATTTCTGGAACACCATTAGCTTTAAATTATTTGATATTTTGTAAATATTTAACTCATGCCACATGCAAAATGTGACTTAATGCTTAAAACCTGATAAGAACACTGCTCGGACAGAATCACAGGACTGGACACATCCAAGTTTTCATGTAGGTTTTTCATAATCCCATTTTATTGCCACATGCATTCACTCAGGGAAGTTTTTCCACATGCACTCAATCAAAACTGCACAGGTTACTTTTTTTTTTTTAAGATAATGTGACAATGTTTGATAGGCAACAACAATAAAACCCTTCTCATTAAACTTTTTTTTTTAATAAATACTTTTGTTACAGTTTACAAATACATGTACTTAAAAAAGTAGTTCAAACGAACAATGTAACCATTCAAACATTTACATGGAGCTTCCAAATCGTGTTCCAAATCACTGATGAAACTGCTCAAGTTCAACGTGCAACTGAAAACATTTGGGAAGGTCTTCACGTTAAATATAAATATGGCAAGAACATTGATCCCTTCAATGAAAACAAAAAACTTAAAAACATAAGAACATGGTTCAGAATCAGGTTGGCCTGTCACCTGCTACAGATCATTTTTATTTCCATAACCATGAAGTTATTTTAGACATTTAATCCAAACTTCTTACATTTGACATGAATTGCATTTGAACCCAATCTTGACAAGCAGATTTCTGCCATCCTATCTCAGTTCTCTATTTGAATGTGGTTTTCTAAACACTCCACGTTCACCAGAAGAAAACTCGACATTCTGGAGTCTACGCATTATAAAGGTGTGTGCAAAAAGCAGGGTCTGCTTTGGCACTTTTTCCTATTTCTGATTCAACCAGTGCTGCTGTTGTTGTATTCCTTTCATTCCAAAGACAGAGGTAGCGGTGTTTAAACTTGTCCCTCAGGGTGCCGCCCAGTCATTTGCCTGAGTCTCTCATATATGTAGTGCTGGCCAGAAAACACTGGCCAGAAAACATTCATCAGAACTCCTTCATGCTGCCATCTGCTGCTTGAATATAAATCTAATGTAGATAGTAACGCATACATATGCACCGTTAAATAATAAAGAACACCCAGAGCACCAACGCAGCATCGGAGGGCCATGAAAGGAGGCTGATCGCAACGAGTCCCTCTTAGTCTGTTGACAAAAAGAGGTAGATGTCATTTCTCAGTGACCGCCGCAGCCATCGGGGTGCGTATGGTCCCGCGCGCAGTGGCTGCCAGCTCCTCGATTTCTGTGTTCAGTCGTCTGATTACCCACTCCATGGCTTCTCGGCCCTAACAGAACAAAAAAAAAACATTAGTCAAGCAAACTGATAGCATAAAGAAGACAAAAAAAACCCGGCAAACAACACTTTTAAAACACTACTTAAGACATTTGTAGTGCAACATCAAAAATTCTGAAGTTCTAAATACACATGTATATCAATAATAAAGCTAAGCCAGTACCATTGTCGTGAATCAAAACTAAAACAAGTAGGAACGGAAGCTTGAGAATCACATCAAATATGATTATTTTCAGAATAGAGGGAAATTTTAACACTTCTTCTGGTCAGAGAAAACAACTCATTCTATTACTAAACAAAAAGCAGCACTTTGGGGTTCATCTTGTTCTTAAGTAACAAGAGTACCACATACGGCGCATTATACGACCATCGACAAACGGGCAGTAAAAAGCAATCTGTAGCACTGTCCCGGATAAGCAAAGATCTTGTATAATCTTTGAATTAGATTTGTGACCTTAAAGCTGGGGTGATGAAAATAAGCGACACACCGTCTAGTGTTGGTACAATTTTTTAAATATACATTTGTCTTGAGCGTATCAGAAGTTATGGCTTAAAAAAGAGAACGTTTTCCATAATACGTCTGTCTTTCATTCATCGGGCGTATAGTAAAAACAGCAAAAACTGAACCAAAAATTAAATGGTTTAAACTTTATTCCAACTATTTAGTGTTTTAGTTGTGAGTTGGCCCATTAAAATCATCATTAAATACCAACAAAGTCCATGCTCAATAATCCAGGTATCCAACAGCTTTCAGTCCGGTCATCTGGACAGTTTCTTTTTTTTTGTGCTGAAGCATTTCACCTTCCATCCAGAAGGCTTCATCAGTCAAGAAAACACACAAATGACTGAAAATTGTTGGATTGTATACCTGGATTATTGAGCATAGACTTTGTTGGCTTTGAACCAGTTTGACATGACTGTCGACGAGGGAGAGGGCCGGCACCAGAGGAGGAGGCATGCCAAAGAAACCATCTTAGCACTAACATAACTAGTTTGTTCCACTTTAGAGTAAGCTGTTGGGGGGAGAATCAGTTTTGTGTTGTGTGTTTCCTTGACTGATGAAGCCTTCTGGATGGAAGGTGAAACGTTTCAGCACAAAAAAAAAAACAAAAAAAAAAAGAAACTGTCCAGATGACCTGATTGAAAATTGTTGGACATCATTAAATACGTCCTTTCGCATTTTCAGAGAGCACATTTTAGAAAACGTATCCAATATTCTTTGTTGGCGGTATACATAAAAAGCATAAAATTTTAAGGCCCAAATAAGAAGTTCTGTCACAAAATTAATCATTAAGATATAATGTTGACATCACACAAAATGTGACAAAAATGGCCAGTTTTGACAGGAAATTCATCATAATGTCCTTAAAAGCTGTTCAAATGTATTGTGTATGTTGGAAACAAGCTTAGATATGGGCACCAGTGACCCCCCGCAACCCAGAAAGTAAGAAGCAGATAAAAATAATTGATGAATGGAAACAAGCTTCAGTTCAGAATTAAAAATCTTTGTTGTTTCTGTAACAGCAGGACTAGGTTTTTAACTTTTTATTTCCTTTCACCCCTACAACAGTAAGCACGCATGTATGTATGCATGTAGTTGAATACTAAATGACCTGCAGAGTTAAATTTTGGTTAAACTTTAAGGTTTTACCTTTCCAGCATTGGTGGAGATGCTGCTGGCCATGACGCCTTCCAGATAGCTGCTGAGACTGACACCTTTCACAGAGATGATGGCTTCTTGAGTCAGTATTGTCCTAGAAGAGATAATGGTTTGAAAGAAATTAAAACATAAATGCAATACTTAAAAACTCAAGGAGCATTAAAAACTAAATATGTCAGAGTAACATCATGTAGAAACATACTTCTCTGGATTATCAGGATGTGGCTTGTATGTTAACTTTTCATCCACAGAGACCATGTTTGTGAAAGAGATCTGCAGAGAGATGTTCAAAATGATTATTAAATTAAAAAGTACTGCATGTGCAGGCTAGAAATTGAATCCAAATGCAGTCATAGCTGTCAGACAAGTCTCACAACAGCTTGGTGAACAAACATTCTTAAAACTTTTCTTCACTTGTGCAACAAGCAGGGCTTCATTCTGCGAACAATACGCAGTTCAAAGACCTGAGCTCATAAATGTCATGAAGTCACAGAAAGTAAATCTAAACTGGGTGTGACTGTTTAAGGTTCGACACATCCCAAACAAAACACAATATGACAAAACAATAGAGCTTAAAAAAAAAAGAAACCTTTTAAAACTATCTCACATTTTTTCAGACAGATATCACCGAAATGGTACGCAGAAGGGAAACTTGAAATAGAGCTCTGCTTGTAAAAAAAAAAATGTACATCAACTTTTATTTTAGAAGCACATCAAACTAAATTTTGATATATTTATTTAGACACCTTCAATGAGATTTAATCAGACTTGTACCCAAAAGTATGTTATTGGTACTCACATTTGTGGATTGAAGTTCAAAAGTCTTCTGGTTGGGATCGATAACCGATTGTTCCTGAATATACGTGCACGTCCGTGTGATTCCAATGAGCTGAAGACAAAAAAAGGAGACGCTTTAATAGCAAAATTCTTATGCATATGCCAACAGTTATTCAATTGGTTTTGGTTGACGATTTACCTTTAAAAAACTGCGTTGATTTTATTTGTTTATATTTTAAATTTGAATTCACATCGATTAAAAAAACCCTAAAATTCTTATTCTAAAATATAGTACAAATTCCAAAAGCATGTTAATTTTAACAAATTTAAAGTTACAACTTGAATTTTTTTTTTTTTGGGGGGGGGAGGTATGGGGGTATTACAGTACATTGAAAGTTCAAGTTGTGTTTATTTGTCATATGCAGGTTAACAGTACAATGAAATGCTCAGGATGAGAAGAACCGATTTGACTCGCTAAAAACAAAGAACAAACTAACAAGAAAATACTAAAGCATGCAATAAGGGTACAAAATAATGTACCTAAAAATGAGAACATAATTATAATATTTACAAGGTCCTAAAGAGAGATAGTAATCAACAACATGGTAGAAAATAATGGTGCAAGTAGAATTAATTTGTATGAATAAAGTATTTCAAGGTAGTAATACAAGCTAAAATGCACATGATATATATTGCACATAACTAACATAAACTACACAGGTTGTGTGACAGGTTATTGCACAAGTAGTGAGTGACATTGAGATTGAATTATGATGGTAAGGTAAATGCAGAGATACTGTATCATACATGATACAGCCACAAAGTGCAGCAGCAGAAAGTTTAACACTTGAGCTGGATTTTCCCAGTTTCTTGTTTTGGCATCTAAACACTAGCACAGGGGCAGCACGGTGGCGCAACTGGTAGAGCTGCTGCCTCTCAGCGAGCAGATCCTTGGTTCAAACCCCGGTCCAGGGGCCTTCTGGGTGGAGTTTGCATGTTCTCTCCGTGCATGCGTGGGTTTTCTCCGGGTACTCCGGTTTCCTCCCACAGACCAAAAACATGCATGTTAGGCTAACTGGTAACTCTAAATTGTCCCTAGGTATGAGTGGGAGAGTGAATGGTTGTTTGTCTCGTTTGTCTCTATGTGGCCCTGTGATGGACTTGCGACCTGTCCAGGGTGTACCCCGCCCCTCGCACAGTGATTGCTGGACATGGGCACCAGCGACCCCCGTGACCCAAAATGGAATAAGCGGGTAAAGATAATGGATGGATGGATGGATGGACACTAGCACAGACCTTGTGGGAGGGGAAAAAAAAACTCTAGTTCTACCAGTAAAATGATACTGGGATTATAAACCTAAAATTTAAATGAGGCTTTACAATCACAATTTGGCCCTACAGGAAAGAGACAAACTTGTTAAACAGGAAGACTCTAGTTTACACACAAACACTGAAGATTCAGAGTAATGCACTTTGAGTCGCTACCATTCACCAAAGTAGTTTGTGTCATTGACTTTCCTTGAATGTAAAGATGCAAGTCACAATGTTGTCACTTAGTATAAACCCTTCCTCTAAAATCTAAGCAACACTCAGCAATATTTTTTTTTAAATTAGCAAATGAATGGCAAACTGTTGATGTATATCAAAGACAGACACAATGAAAATGTGTTAGCTTTCTGCACCCATATTGTTGCAGGGAACAAAAAGTCCATAATACGCGAGTTCACAAGTCCAAAGGCCTTTGACACAGCCTTGCTTTCAAATCATCTATAGTTCTGACTGTGTTGACACACAGACAGAAAAGTTACGGAAAGTTGCATCATGAGGTGTCATGGAACACATCTGAGCAATGACCGATATGGGATCACCATGTCCTGTACCGCACGAGCCATGGCGCATAGCCATGAACTCAGCTGGGCTACAGCCAGCAACTAGGTCTGCTACTCTAACAGGACAGATATAGAACTCACGTTAAGGACATAGAAAGCCCGAACTTCACAATAACTATTTCTGGATTCACCAAGATGCACTTTATTGTTTGACATTTAAAGTACTCTTTCAAACCACCATATTTTGACACTTACAGATTTCACTATGGATGGCAGACCCCACTCTGTGCTGAGCAGTCTTTTACTGTGGAGACGTCCCTGTTGGTCAACACTTCTGTCCAGAACATCCACTCCGACCACGCTGGGGTTCATTGGGTTGGGATACTTCTGCATAGCAGCCTTGGTCACCATCTCCCAAGGATGGCTGTCAAAACAAGGCCACAAAAATACCTTAGTTTGCGCAATTACATAAATCTTCATGCAACACATTAAAAGGAAACTGTTTTTTTTCCTTCTTTTACTGAGAAATGGCAGTTTTCAAGAGTCTAACAAAGACTATTTTAGCATTTGTGAACAAATACATAAAATTGTAGACAAACACACAAGGGGTAATTTGGAGTTTTTTTTCCTAAGACAGTCTGAGGTGTAAACTGGCAAAACTGATCACAATTATTTATGATTTGCAACTGTAATCAAATTATGGTGTAAAACACGTATTATTTAATAAGCTAGTAATAACTTATCGTGTAACAGTATAAAAATACAGAGGTGCACTTTCATTGGTGAGGATTTCCGAGTGATTATGATAAAATCATCAAGCTTGGAGAACAGAAATGCTAGCTATTCAGCTAATAAACTAATTAGTTACTGCTAACATGGCAGTTTACCATATTAGTTGGTGTGAATTCACCTGCAACACCAAGGATTCAGCTTCCAGGATAAAATGGATTAACCAATTCAAATATGGCAATGCATAACATGCATAACGGATTATAAAGGAAGGAGCGAACAATGCCCCAAAGACCCATCTCTGCCTGATGCCCTCAACAAGTTCTATGCACGCTTTGAAGACCCGAACAGACCACCCAGCACCAGACTCACCTCACCACCGGATGAAGAGCATCTCAGCGTGACCTCAGCAGAAGTAAGGAGTACTTTCAGGAGGATTAATCCGCACAAAGCAACTGGCCCAGACAACATCCCCGCAAAAGTGTTGAAGGAATGTGCTGATCAGCTCTGCGAGGTGCTGGAAGACATCTTTAACACCTCACTTATCACTTACCCTGGAGACAGTTCCCACCTGCCTGAAGAATGCCACCATCATCCCAGTCCCAAAAAGCTGTACAGTGAATGGTCTGAATGACTATCGGCCTGTGGCCCTCACCCCGATAATCGCTAAATGCTTCGAAAAACTGGTCATGACTCACATCAAAACAACCATCAACATCAACGAGGACCCTCATCAGTATGCATACCGTGAGAAACGATCAACAGAGGACGCCATCTCCTCTGTGGTCCACACTGCTCTCAACCACCTGGAGCAGAAGAACTCCTATGTCCGAATGCTCTTTGTGGGCTTCACGTCTGCTTTTAACACCATGATCCACCAAACCCTGAGGACAAACTACTCACACTAGGACTAAGCCCCTCCATTTGCAACTGGGTCCCAGACTTCTTAACAAACAGACCACAGTTAGTGAGGATCCACAACTTCTCCTCCTCCTCCAACATAACCCTCAGCACTGGCTCCCCTCAGGGATGTGTGTTGAGCCCCCTCCTGTTTACTCTGCTCACGTATGATTGTGCAGCTACCCATCCAGGCTGTCACATTGTAAAGTTTGCAGATGATACAGTGGTGGTGGGATGCATCACAAACAATGATGAGTCCAGCCACAGGCAAGAGGTGGAACACCTGGAGAGCTGGTGCAAAGAGAATAACCTTCACATCAATGTGAAGAAGACAAAGGAGATGATTGTGGACTTCAGAAGGAACAAACCCACCTACACCCCCCTGAACATAAGAGGATCTGCGGTGGAAGTGGTCTCCAGCTACAAGTACTTGGGTGTACACATGAATGACAACCTCAGCTGGAGAAACAACACCACCAGCCTGATCAAGAAAGCTCATCAGAGACTCTACTTCCTCAGACGACTGAGGCGAGCTGGTCTGGGAAGCTCAGTCCTCACCTCCTTCTACAGGTGTGCAGTGGAGAGCATCCTGTGCTCCAGCATCAACGTGTGGCATGGAGGCTGCACAGCTACAGAAAGAAAAGCTTTGCAGAGAGCGGTGAAGGCTGCACAGAAATCTGTCGGAGTCAGCCTCCCCACCATCAGACATCTACACCTCTAGATGCAGGAAGAGGGCTACCTGCATCATGAAGGACCTCACTCACCCAGCGCACACACTTTTTGCCCCACTCCCCTCAGGAAGGAGGTTGAGGAGCATTAAGTGTAGAACCACTAGACTGAGGAACAACTTCTACCCTGAGGCTGTTAGACTCATGAATCTCTAACTAGAATAATCACTGTGAAAAATCACATCATGTTGCTGCTGATCTGTTTCAATGTTGATGTGTTCATGCGTGCTCATCTGCTCACACAGACTCATGTTCATGTTTGTGCTGATGTTCAATGTTTTTATGTTATGAGTGCTTAGTGTATATATTAGTTGATGTTTTTCTTAGTTCATATCTTAGATGTTATTACTGTGTTTCTTATACATTTTATTGTTGGATGTAACTGGGACCCTGTGTACATAATTTCGCTCCACCAAATGTACCACGAGGTGCGAATGACAATAAAGAAACTCTGACTCTGATAAAGAAAAATGCAGCCATTGTTAACAGTAACATTTATGACTTAAATGTAACGCGTGAAAACGGTGTGAAAACGGTTTAACAATTTAAAAAATAAGTTATATTGTATTGAATGGTTCCCTTGGAGACGAGTGAATGCGTTGCCGTCGCAGTACATTCACTTCACCGTTTTGCGGCATAATGTAGGTGAAAGGTTACTTACCGAGGGCTGGACCGGTTCGTTACGCAATTTAAAAAGAATTCAGAACATTCAGTGAAAGCTTTGTGGTCAGATTTGTTCCATTTATTAAAATCGACTTCCAAGATATGTTCAAGCGTTTGTGTGGAGTTATAAAGGGCGACTATTCATCTTTACTAGCTTCGACTACTAGCATTCAAGCTAGTAGTAGTCTCGTGCGAAATTCAGTTTTGCCGTGTCCAACGAAAAGCCATGTGTGGTGCTACTTAGCAACTTAAATTAAACCAGCGCTAGAATAAGATACATAGATGGCAGAAGTGAGTTTACTTACTTAAATGTGTATTCTGAGGTCCAGATCTTCATGATTTCACCTGGGTGACCTACGCAGACGAGACTTGGGACCGGTAAGTAGTGGAAGTGTTTCTCCGGTGTCGCAAATCTACTCCCTCATTCTGGGAGGAGTCACGTGTGTGTGACGCACTTCCGCTGAGGGCGCCACGTGAATCCAGAGCCCTATAGGCTCTGCGTGAATGCACAAAGGAACAAGAGGTGAATTATGTAATATTTTATATATTTAAAAAATACAGAATAATTACCACACTTATTCTGCATATGCAACATAGATATATGCAGGTGTTGTGTGTCACATAACACCTGCATATATCTATGTTGCATATGTAGATTGTATTTTCTGCCTCATGTACGTTTAACCTTCAATGTTACGCAATTCAGGTTAATGATAGTTCTGTTGCTGATTCAACAAGATCAAGTCACCTGCTAAATAATTTTTGAACAGTAAAATGTACTCAGCAATCATGCAATCTTTTGTTAGGGATTATTCTTTATTTTTATGACAAACAGCAAAAAAAGTCAGAAAGTATCATGTGCCCTCTATTGTCTACCCCAGAAAGCAAGAAGTGGTGGGTTTTTTTTTTTCCTTGTCTGCACAAGTGGGTGTCAGGTTTTTTTTTTTTTTTTTCAGAGTTAGCAGAATATCTAATAAATCAGTGGACATATTTTAATGAATCCTTTGATAGCAATCAAATACATCTACAGTACTACAACTGATTAACTTTCAAGATGGCCACTACACAAAACAGTTATGTGTGTATTGTAACTCAACCATCCATACATCCATCCATTATCTTTACCCGCTTATTCCATTTTGGGTCACGGGGGTAGCCGGTGCCATGTCCAGCAATCACTGTGCGAGGGGTGGGGTGCACCCTGGACAGGTCGCAAGTCCATCACAGGGCCAATAGAGACAAACAACCATTCACTCTCTCACTCACACCTAGGGACAATTTAGAGTTACCAATCAGCCTAACATGCATGTTTTTGGACTTTGGGAGGAAACAGGAGCACCCGGAGAAAACCCACGCATGCACGGAGAGAACATGCAAACTCCACCCAGAAAGGCCCCTGGACCGGGGTTTGAACCAAGGACCTGCTCGCTGAGAGGCAGCAGCTCTACCAGTTGCGCCACCGTGCTGCCGTAACTCAACCAGTTATATGTATATTTGCCTAGGACTTGGTGTGTTAGTATTTGAAAGTCATTGCCAAACATACTCTGAGCACTACACATTTTGCTGTATTTTTGCTTAAAATTATGTTAGCACGATACCTCATAAACCACTAGGCAGATTGTATTAAGACTGTCAAAATGTAATCATTGGATGCACAGCTAAAGCTCAGCAACATTTCCAGACAACCCAATTTAGCATGATCCCCTACTAGTTGACTTTAGCCAACACAAAAAAATGTTGTAACTCAGACATATTTACAAATATTGACCTAAATTAGGTAATAGTTGCATAGACAACTGCCTCAACACATGGTAAGCGCATTATTACATCTCACACTATTGCATGAGACCATGCATAATAGGCTTTAATAATTCATAGGTGTTTTAAAATTATTGCTGTATGTTAAGATAATGTATATTAAGTTTTATTATTGTAAATACCTGCAGATGTTTTGTTATTCATATTAATTTGTTAAATGCTACTAAAATGGAAAGGGATTTAAGAACGTATTCTATTGTTGCGTCATTATCATTTTGAAACCTGAATCGGAAATGGTCCTTGATGAGGCAACATGTCTGTTGTCACTATAACTTAATTTTCTAGTGAACGAGTCCCGTCAACCTTTTTGCAATGCTCTTGGGGCATATTTGAGTCACATGTGCTTATCTAAGACACATTCTGTCCAAACTATGTGTAATCTTAATGCTCCAGGCTTGTGCAAATGGGAGGAAACTCTGTGACAGTCTTGAACGGTATCACTGTTAGCGTGCTATCAGAGGACTTCCAACTCAACAGTTTGCTTCAGTTCAACTTGTAACAGTAAAACTGGATGTAAGAAGAACAATTCTTTCTAAGGTTCAATTAGTATTCTTTTTTTTTTTTTTATCTTTCTTTAGAAGTTGTTTATATACCATCATACAAAAAGGAAACATTGTTTAAACATTGAAATTTTATTTTGTTTAAAGCAGTAACATATATAAAACAGCTTAAAAGTAGACATAAACATTCAAATATGTCCATCAAATAAGTAATCCAGAAATAATTAATACTTAAAGCAAATAAATTATTAGAGGAAAACAGTAATACAGGGTTGACTTGAATGCTTCAAAGCAAAATCATGATAAAACCCAAATTTGTATTTGAATACCTCTAATATTTCTAAACACGATAATATATAACAGTCCATGAAATAAAATTATAAACAATGTATGAATTGAGAAACATTTGTTAATAGATTTATGATAATTATATGTAATAAAATTAACCCACAGCTTTTATTTGAAAAACTTTAGCACCAACAAACTCAGAGTCATTTATTCATATTTATGGCTTTGGTGTCAATTAACGGTCTGCCCATGGTGTTTTGTACTATAAACTAGCCTGAAATGCACCTCTTCAGAAAGTCAATGCAAACCACAAAACCGGTGATTAATTGACTTGTTACGGTTCATTTCAAGAGGCATATTTTGTCTAAAAGTACCTCTGAAAGAAAAATGTAAACTGTTACAGGCTGTTATCGAACAGATCTTGTTTGTTGTGTCATTACTGTTTGTGGTGTTGTACTGTTATTTGATGTATTTATTGTTTTAATCTTTGAATTAACGCAAATTCATTAACAGTTGTACACTTCCATTGCCTTCTGAACTTCCTTTGCTGTATCAATAATAATAAAAAAAATATTTGTTTAACATTTATTAGGTGCAACATTAGCTTTACACATATAAATAAAATAGGTTTTACATATACATTTTTTTAGAGGTAAGCTATACGAGGCTCATCTCTGGACCCAGATTTTTTTTTGACCTGTTGTATAGTTTTGCACGAGTGGACAGACCGACAACTATAAAAGAATTATGCTGCATGATGACTGAAGACTAGATGAGTCTGTACAGTCAAACTAACGTGTTTTTTTGCACATTTTCCAACAAAAATTCAACCCACACCCTCCAATTACAATATACATGTAGCTTGTGCCCCACTGGATCCTTTCCTTTTCATGAACAAATATAACACGACCATCCTATTAAATATTCTAAACACAATCAAATAATATCCCACTCTTAACAGGTGCAATTTGGTATAAATGTTTAAAGCATTGCTCATCTACAATGATTATAGTGAAGACTCGGCATTAATCTACTGAAAAAGTAAAATTCAACCTCTATAAGTTATAACTTTTGTTCCCCAACTAGCTGGCAAAAAAAAAAAAAAAATTTCAAGACTAGTTTGGTAATTTGCTAAAAAAATATATAACTAAGTAATTTTTTCCTCTGTGATGGATTTGCTACCTGTCTACCTGCAGCCCATCTCTCACACAGTGTCTTCTAGAGACAGGCACCGTCTTTTCTCAACCAGGAAAGAAATGAAGCAGAGTAAAGAAAATGGATGGATAGATGAATAATTCTTACTTGCATACTAACCAAGTATGACTTTTTCTTACCGACCTTGGTTAAATGTGTAAAGAAAGACAAATGTTGGCACTTTTGGACAAGTATTGATCCCTCCTTCCATCTTCTACTGCTTATTCGTGGTTGGGTGACAGAGGCAACAGGTCCAGGGGAGAAACTTAGCTCTCTCCCCAGTGACATGCTCTAGATATTCCTAGAACATCCCAAGACATTCAGTGGCCAGAGAGGACAAATAATTCCTCCAGTGAGATCAGAGTTTGCCTTATGGTCTCTTCCCAGTGGGACATGACAAAAAAAACAAAAAAAAAACAGAAGGAAGGCACTATGAGTCATCCTAATCACATGCCTGAATCACTTCAGCTCATGTATTTTGATACAGAGGAGCAGCAGCTCTTATACAAACTTCTCTTGAACGAGGGAGCTACTCGCCCTATCTTTAAGGCTGAACCTGGCTAATTTATGAAAAAAGCCCATTTCAACAGTTGTATTGTTCGTTTGGCCATGATCTACCTCATGATCAAAGGTGAAGGCCATAATGTAGATCAGTAAATTGAGAGCTTTGCTTTTTGTCTTAACTCTTTCTTCTCCAAGACAGATTGAGGCAATACTGAGCACAAGGCCTTGATCTATCCATGTCTCACTCATCTTACTATCTCTCATGAACAAGACTTCCAGATACTTGACTCCTCCACATGAGGCAGAGACTCATTCCCAACCCAGATAGAGCATTCTGCTTTTTTCTGGTAGTCACGTTTGGGCAGCTGTTGATTAAAGCTTCAAGTATTAATTGAGAAATTTAACTTAATATTTAAAGCCCCAAAAATTGCATTCAGAGTTGTTTTCTTTATGTCAGATGCATCAAACATAAGTTACAAGTTAAACAGGTAAAACATTATAAAAAAATAAAATCAGATTTACAAACTTATTTTGCTTGAATTCTTGCCCCAGTATCTTTTGTTTTGCCAGACTGTACATCCCATGCTTACTGATCATCTACAGTTTCTTTACTTGTTTCTACAACTGTTTCCAGTTTGACTTCTGTTCTAGATTGAACTTTCCTTGTCGCTGCTGGTGAGGGTCCTTCTTCTTCTTCATCTTCTACTTCCCAATCTAGATCAGCGGTGGCCTCTTGGTACTGTTGGTACTCAGACACCAGGTCGTTGAGGTTGTGCTCTGCCTCAGTGAACTCCATTTCATCCATACCTTCTCCTGTGTACCAGTGGAGGAAAGCCTTCCGTCTGAACATCACAGAAAACTGCTCACCCACTCGACGGAATATCTCCTGAATGGCTGTGTTGTTGCCAATAAACGTGGAAGCCATTCTCAAGCCTCGTGGGGGAATGTCACACACAGCAACCTTGACATTATGGGGGATCCAATCGACAAAGTAGTTGCTGTTTTTCTGCTGGATTGCAAGCATCTGCTCATCTACCTCTTTAGTGGACATTTTACCACGGAATATACCAGCTACAGTGAGATATCGACCTCGCCGGGGATCACATGCTGTCATCATGTTGCGGGCATCAAACATCTGCTGGGTTAATTCAGGCACAGTAAGAGCTCTGTATTGTTGGCTGCCCCGTGCTGTCAGAGGGGCGAAGCCTGGCATGAAAAAGTGGAGGCGAGGAAAGGGCACCATGTTCACAGCTAGCTTCCTCAAGTCAGCATTGAGCTGTCCTGGAAATCTCAGAGAGGTCGTGACCCCGCTCATGGTCAAGGAGACCAAGTGATTCAGGTCTCCGTATGTCGGTGTGGTCAGCTTTAATGTACGGAAACAAATGTCATACAGGGCCTCGTTGTCAATGCAGTAGGTCTCATCTGTGTTCTCCAGGAGCTGATGGACCGACAGTGTGGCATTGTAGGGCTCCACCACTGTGTCAGAGACTTTAGGAGATGGCATGATGCTGAAGCTATTCATGATTCGATCTGGGTATTCCTCTCGGATCTTATTGATGATAAGGGTGCCCATGCCAGAGCCTGTGCCACCTCCCAATGAGTGAACCATCTGGAAGCCTTGCAGGCAATCACAGCTTTCGCTCTCATTCCTCACCCTGTCAACAACCTGCTCAACCAACTCAGCTCCTTCTGTGTAGTGACCCTTTGCCCAGTTGTTTCCAGCTCCTGAGTTTCCTACGACACCAAAATTTCATGGATCATGAGTTCATCAACTATTGAACACAAAAGCTGTGCTACTGTTTCTGTTTTATATTTAATTTAAATGTTTAACACTTGCCATAACTAAAAAGCATTTTGGCCAACTTCTGTTATCTCTAAATGTGCTATATAAATACATTTAACATTGACATTCACAAACAGAATCAAAACATGTACCCCATACAAACAATTAAAACTAAAATTTCAATTAATATTGACCTCGTAAAGTTTCATTTTTTTTAATTTCCATATATAAAAAAAACGATAACAAAAACTCATTAAAGTTAATCACCACATGAATATATACTGCTTTTAAAAAATATTGATCTCACCATGAATGAAGTTGTCTGGTCTGAAAAGGGCGCCGATGCGGCTTCCTCTTACACTGTCCATGGTGCCGGGCTCCAGGTCCACAAGCAGGGCCCTGGGGACATATTTACCTCCTACAAACAGATTATCATTCAAGATAAACACATCTACTCTTTGAGTTTAAAAAAACAGTACAGTATATTTGTAATGTCAGGATATTTTTGGTTACTTCTTGTTCACACACCCCCGTGATAATGTTTTGTTTTCTATAGCTTTGGATTTTAGTGTTTAGTTCTGTTCTCTCCAGATCCGTGTTTTCCCCTGTGCCATGCCACATTCCTCCTCAGTGTTTTTCCAGTCAGCCTGCCACTCTCACCTGTGTTCAGTCAGGATTCTATTCCATTGCCTCCACTTTTGTATTTACCTCAGTTTCTATATATTCTGTCATTGTCTCATTACTCACGAGCAGTGCATTATGGGTTTCAATGCCACAAGTCTTGGTTCCCTTTGTGTTTCCCCAGAGTATCTGTGAGTTTGCTGATGTCAGTCCTTTTCTTTGTTGTTGTTATTAAATAAAGCTGTTTACTTTATTTTCAGGTCTATGTGTCTGCATGCATGCACATGTGAACTCACTTCTTTGTAAGAAAACCCACCAGAGAATGAATTTGTATCGGAAGCTCTGTGGTTTTAATGTTGATTCTACTTTTATGAGAATGTTTTATTGAGTCTCTTTTAACTTTTACCTTCATCTGTTGGTTTGGGCTTTTGACATGCAAATTCAGGAACAAACTCGGGGATTGTCAGGATGTGCAGCAAAACTGCTGGCATAGCCCTACAGAACCTCACTGACCTACACAAGGAGAGGTCAGTGAACAAGGCCAGGCTGATTCTGGCAGATCCTGATCACCCACTCCATGGTGAGTTCAGGTTGCTTCCATCTGGACACAGGTGCTTTCAGCCCAGATGTAGGATGAACAGACTGAAAAGCTCATTCATCTCTGTAGCGATCAGGCTTCTCAATGAACAGTGCTGATTTCTGCACTGTTATTTTAACATCTCAATGTCTTGATGTTTTGTTTGCCTACTGACTGCGAAACAAATTGCCCCTTGGGGAGAATAAAGATTCATGAACTTGAACTTGAACTGCATACCTTGTTCCAAATCATCCTGCGACTGTTACAATTAAATGAGTTAGAAATGGTGATAATGCAAATAAAACTTGTCTGGTACCATGTGCCTCATTGAAGTAGACGTTGATCCTCTCCAGTTGGAGGTTGCTGTCGCCTTCATAGATGCCTGTTGCATCAATTCCATGTTCTTCACTTATTACTTCCCAAAACTATAAAAGAAAAAAGATTATCATGGCATAAACACAACTTGCTTGAATGCGCTGCTTAAGCTGAATTTGAGTTAAGGGTTTTAACATATAAAATGAAAAAGAAAACAAAATGCACTTGAAATAACTGGCTTTAAGTGTGGTTATGCTTTATCATCTTGCTGTTCCTTTCTCTTGTTTTGTGTTAACCACGATAAAAAATTTAAAAAAAGTCCCACCCATGCCAGTCTTGCTTTGGTTCTTATCTTTTTCCTGAACACTTCACAGGAAACACCCTGTGTCACTCACAATGAGTGACAAGGAAAACAAAAACAATTCTGCATCTCATTGAAACAGGCTAAATAAATTCACAATTCCATTTAATAAATGAGTTAATTCACAGTTTTTTCCTAAAATGAAAAAAAAAAATGTTTGCAGAAGATAATGATTTTTTTAAATTATGTTTCATGCATTTTAAATATTTGACAAGTAAGAATAATTTTGTTTTATTACCTTTGAGCCAATCTGGTTGCCACATTGTCCAATTTGCAGATGTACAATTTCTCGCATGGTGATCAGGCTGCAGTCTGCAGAACAGCTGAGGGTCTGAGATAGTCCTTGCTGCTCTCACCAGTCTTATATATGAGCCCAGTAATGATGTCATCAGTGAGGTAAAGGAGTCACACCATTTTAAAATGTGCCAACAACCCATAATTCATCACAAAAACACTGAGTATGTGCAGAAGCATCGATCCACCTCCATTTCTTTATGGTTTTGCTTTTAAAAAGCCAAATTTTACATCTTTGTAAGTCTGGAAAAATAGTCTTTGGACTTTCTGAAAGTGAAAAAAGAAAATTATCTTCTCAAAATAGCTGATTTTGTGTACTCATCATTAGACCACACCTTTCATATAAATGTTACTTGAAACTAATGTAAATCCTTAAAGTTTAAACAAGACTTTAAAATCTAATTGAATAGTTGTACACATAGTGCACAACGTATCACTGAACCAGTTTTAAACCGTCTTTAAGCACCTTACAGCATCCTTCCACAATAAAGCCCATCATTTGTTGTTTCTTTGGGTTCATCTTTTCACATAATAACATATCTTTTCCACCAACAACGTTATTTCCAAAGAGCTATTAGGTAAAAGAAAAGAGGCAATAACAATTATTTTAGAAGTGATGAAATACTCTTTGCTATATCCTAATTCATGCTCAGTAATCCAGAAAATCCAACAAAGTTAAGCCAGGTCCTCTGGATGGTTTCTTTTTGTTGAAATGTTTCGGCTTTAATCCAAATAAAAGACTTCATCAGTCCAAGGAGCCACAACAGACTCAGTTTTATAAATAGCATCACCAGTTTGATGGTGCTCCGATGGTTTTTCCCCCACCGACTCATTTGAGTCATGATTATGGCCAAAGTGAAAATATCCTAATATCCAATATGTGGATTATTAGCATGAATCAGGATGTTTTGAACCACTTTGGCCATGACTGCCTCAGACGAGTTGGCGAGGGAGAGCGTGGACTCCAGAAACCATCAGAGCACCATCAAACTGGTTGATCCACTATGTGAAGGTGCTTTTAAGACTGAGTTTGTTGTGGCTCCTTGGACTGATGAAGTCTTTTGGATGAAAGACGAAACATTTCAATTAAACAAAAACCATTCAGAGGACCTGACTTAACTTTGTTGGATCTCTGCTATTTATAACACATTCCCCTGATAATGTCCTTAATAGGTGAATTAACTGCAGCTGTAGAAGAAAAGGTTTTTGCCTGTTTATTAGCAAGGTTATTAAACTGGTTTCATAAAAGGTCACCGTGAGCTACAAGTTGAGCAGACTCAAATAGATTTTCCATTCCTCTGAGTCGGACAATCTTCAGACATTACACACAAAATGATTTGTAGACAGATTTTATAACCAGAAATTAAACTTTTCTCTATAGTAATTAGAGTTTGTGTTTAAGGTGATAAAAGGGTCAGAGTTTTATTTTTTATTTATTTAATTTATTCATTTCATTTCATTAAAACCATAACAACTCAAAAATAATGAAAAAAAAAATGTATACAGTCAAAATAAAATGAAAGGCAGCAGAAGAAGAATGAATCTTATGATATCTGCCCCTTTTTTACCCTTACTGTCTTGTTACCAAACAAAAACAAAAAGCAAGACGTGCAACAACTTCAGTGATTTAAAAACAAGATCAACTAAAGAACAACATCTCAAACAATAACTTTAGTGCATTCAATTTGGAGTTTTTTGTATTCTGTCAAATAACTCTCCTTTAACATTCTCTTAAATATATGTTGAGATCTGGCATTTTTAAATGTATCGTCCAGACCATTCCATAATCCTATCCCCTGGATTACAGAGGATCGTTCTTTTAAACTAGTGCTAAAATAAGGCTTCACAAACATTTCTATCCCTTTAAGAAAATAAACACTCTCCCTTTTAATAAAATGTACTTGAATATTGACGGGCAATATGATTTTATGAGCCCTATACATAATCTGCAAAATGCTGTAATTGACCAAATCATAGAATTTCAATATCTGGAGTTGACAAAACAATACATTTGATGGATGTCTTAATTTTTGTCTGGTGATAATTCGTACTGCTCTTTTCTGTAAAATAAAAAGTGGGTTTGTAATTGTTTTACACGCTTTACCCCAGACTTCGATACAGTATTTTAAATGAGGAGCAATTAGTGCATTATACAACATAAATAGTGCTTTTTCATTAAATAACTCCCTTACTTTGTACAGAATTGCTATCGATTTTGCTACTTTTGTTCTTAAGTTATTTATATGAGATTTCCATGTCAATTTTTCATCAATAATAACACCCAAGAACTTCACCTCATTAACTCTAAGAATCTCAATTCCTTCTACCATAAATGGAGCATCAACTTTTCTTTTACTATTACTGAATATCATATAATATGTTTTATCTAGATTTAATGATAATTTATTAAGATGAAACCAATTTTGAATTTTCACAAATTCTATTTGTGTCATTTTCAGCGTTTGTTCTATATCTTTACCCTGACAAAAAAAAAGTTGTATCATCTGCAAATAAAATACATCTAAAAAGACCTGACACATTTACTAAGTCGTTTACATATAAATTAAATAACTTAGGTCCAAGTACTGAACCCTGGGGCACTCCACACGTGATATTACAAAACTCAGATCTTCTGTCATGTAGTTGAACAAACTGTTTCCTTCCTTCTAAATAACTATTTACCCATTTTAATGCTGGCCCTCTAATACCATATCTATACAACTTCTCAAGAAGAATTCCGTGGTCTATAGTATCGAAGGCCTTCCTTAAATCAACATAAATACTAATACAACACTTTTTTTGGTCAATAGCAGTTGTTATTTGTTCCATAAATTCAATGAGTGCCATTGATGTAGAATTGTTTGGTCTAAATCCATATTGACTATTACTTAGTATATTCTGTTTATCAACAAATCGATCCAATCTGATAACAAATAGCTTCTCCAAAATCTTCGAAAATTGTGGCAATAATGATATCGGTCTATAATTATTAAACACATGTTTCTCCCCATTTTTAAAAAGTGGAATTACTTTGGCTATTTTCATATTGTTTGGAAATATTCCTGTTGAGAATGACAGATTACATATATATACAAACGGCTCAATAACATAATTAATTATTTTTTTTACAATCATCATATCCATGTCTATACAATCTTTTGATCTTTTGTCTTCCATATTTTTACAATATTCAGTATTTCTTCTTTGTTGGTTCCTTCAAGAAAGATACTGTTGGTACAACTTGTAACTGTAGAATTCACATTTGTTTCCACTTTTGGTATTTTGTTTGCAAGACTTTGGCCAACATTTACGAAATAATGGTTAAACTCATTTACAATTTCATATTGATCATGGATCTCATTACCATCCTTTACAAAGTATTGTGGAACACTTGGTTTAGTTTCATGATTTTTCAGAACACTATTCATTATTCGCCATGTTGCCCTCATATTACCATTACTTTTGTCTAATAAATTACTATAATATTCCTTCTTTTGTTTTCTTATTATCCATACCAACTTATTTTTATACTTCTTGTATCTTTCTTCTGCTTCTTTTGTTTTTAGTTTTAGGAAGCATGCATACAAGTGGTTCTTTTTTTTACAAGCGTTTTTTAACCCTTTAGTCAGTTTTGAGAGATGCTCCCATCTAGAGGACAAATGCAGCTATGGCAGGATAAAAGGTTTTGGTTTATTTATTTGTTTGTTTTTGAAATCTCCACTTAGTTGTACTTAAAACCCGAAAAGGCCTGTGAAGTCAAGGCAGGTTGTTTCAGACACAGTTTGATTCCTGAGATGTTTGATATCATGCTTCAGGCACGGGCAGCACAGTGGCGCAGTCGGTATAGAGCTGTGACACTCAGCAGTTCAAATCCCAGCTGGGGGTCCTTTTTTTTTTCATTCAACCTTTATTTAGACAGGTAGATCCCATTGAGCCTCGAACCCCTTTCTGGGTGGAGTTTGCTTGTTTCTCTCCGTGCATGCGTGGGATTTCTCCGGGTACTCCGGTTTCCTCCCACAGACCAAACACATGCATGTTAGGCTGATTGGTAACTCTAAATTGTCCCTAAGTGTGAGTGAGAGAGTGAATGGTTGTTTGTCTCGTTTGTCTCTATGTGGCCCTGTGATGGACTTGCGACCCGTCCAGGGTGTACCCCGCCCCTCGCACAGTGATTGCTGGACATGGGCACCAGCGACCCCCGTGACCCAAAATGGAATAAACGGGTAAAGAAAATGGATGGATGGATGGATGGATGTGTCTTTCAGCTGCTCCCTTCTTCAGGGGTCGCCACAGTGAACTAAGTCGCACGAAGACTTGATAATTGTTTTGATGCCACATGCCCTTCCTGACACAACCACAGACCATGGAGCTACCACAGCCCTCTGTGTGGAGCAGAGAGTTGCCATCTAGCATACCCAGGGGAGCAGATGCTGGGGGTTAGGGGCCTTGCTCAAGGGCCCAGATTGGGGGGAAATGAGGGTGGAGGCAGTTGTGGGTGTTTCACCTTTCCAAACCACATTTTGACATTGTCGGTACAGGGAGTTGAACCAGCAACCTACTGATCACAGGCCCACCTTCTCTAGCCTCTGTGCCACCACTCCCCAAAAAATATAGAGTGTAAAAACAAAAGCAGTCTAGAGGTGTCAAAACTCCAGGCCTCAAGGGCCGAAGTCCTGCAACTTTTAGATGTGTCTCTGATGCCACAGCTGAATCACATGACTGAATTAGCTTCTCAGTGCAGTCAAGTTCTCCAAAGTCCTGCTAATGACCTCCTTATTTGATTCAGCTCTGTGGCATCAGAGACACATCTAAAAGTTGCAGGACTCCAGCCCTCGAGGCCTGGAGTTTGACACCTGTGATATATGCTAAATGAACGCCAAACAGTACGCTAAAAGATCTAAGTACGGTAAACACTAATAATGTAAAACAATATGGCGTAACAGCAGCAGCCCAAAGTCTGTGTGAACAGATGGGTACGAATGAACACAGCAGCATGAAATAATCAGCAGCAGGAAATCAGCAGCACAGATAAGTCACATA